TGTCCTTCGTTTCATGTGATAATACTTTCTCTTTAATTCTATTAAACAGACATAATTTCTTGTTTTAGTTACAAAGTTCCGCTGTTCAAGTCCTATAATTGCTGTGTTGAGAATACCGACTAATTTGTCAATCGAAATGTTTTTCGTTTTTCAATAACCTCTGGGTCACTTTCTTTCACTATCGGAAGCGAATTATAATGACGAGGAACTTGATTTAAATCATATCAAAGACGGAGTACATCGAGATGAAATACTACACTTTAGTAAGGAATTATAAGCCAAATAAAATAAAAAACATCTGCTCTGAAGATAAGGATAGTGCTGACAGATCAACTTCCAATCCCTGGCGTGAAATTGATAAACAGATTTCGGATTTCAAAACATACTTTCGCTTTGTAGATACAAATCATATTAATAAATATATATCGGAAATTCTATTTGACATAATCGAAAGTTCAAGCTTACTTTTATGAAATTGCTCTAATCTGCAAAAATAATAAGCCGGATCCAATTCGAAGATTAAAGGAACAACGCAATCTGCAACATTAACTGAATTTTATCTTAGCTTATACCTCCGTTACACATTAAACGCGCATGCGCACAAACATATCTGCAGACGTAAAGGTCTTACGCGCACTCTTAAACGCCTGTGCGCATGCGTGAACGCGACGCATGCGCAGAAAGTTTGTAGCTTTGAGGTCTGGATTAACGACTTTTGACTGTATTTACTTGGACCTTTTGAAAAATTTAAGAGAATTCATAAAAAAGCACTAATTTCGGAAGTTATTTTAATTGTAATAACATTAAATCAATATTTATAATCAAAGTGTTGTGTATTACTTGGTGGTAGAGCGATTAAAAATAAATTAAAAGGAGACACACAAAAAATAAATAAATAAATCTCAGTAAGAGTAAAACTTTCTCGGTTACAACTATTTGGGATGCAAGATTTAAAAAAGACTTGCTTCAGTAAAGACAAAGCTCATGATTAAATGGCAAAAATATTGTATTCTCCTTTTTAAAAAAATTCTCTTTGAAATTTTTCTTAAAGAAAGTGCATGGTTATTATAAACATGAATGCAGATCTTTACATGATGAAAATTGAAATTATGTTCATAAAGATACATAAATTCTTTTGGGATTGTAATGTCGAAGTAGCCTGCACTTCATGTAAATAGGATGTATAGTGTAATTTAACAATTCCTTATTATACTCTAGAAAATTTCTCTTAACTTTTTTTTACTAAGCCTCCCAGATGGTATAGTGGTTAGGGAAGCTGACTGCGATACCAAAGGGCCCTTGGTTTAAAAAAAAAGAAAACCCCTTTTCTAGTAATTATTTTGTTTTAATTATATAATAATAACCCATAGAAATACTGTCTTACATAAAGTCTGAACAAAAATATATTTTTATATAAGATACTGGAAATGATCACTCTTTTTCAATATACAAATCAACATGATGCTATTTGTTTCTTGAGACTTTGTTCAAAGTATAGATTAGGAAAGTAAACTTTTGGCTTTTTATCATGATGTTCTACAGATCTTTCAATTTTTAAATCACTTCTAACACACCAAACCTGTGTTCTTGCATAAAACTCATGATGACAGCACTTTCTTCCCACCTGCTATTCACCATATTTGTTATTCTGCCTTGCAATACACATGACCACTTCACCAAATGTTTATCCCATTTTACCCAAACTGCAGTTCTCACCAACATTTTCCATTATTAAAGTAATAAATAATATTTACAGAAAAAAATATCTGGGAACTTCTGAATTGCACTGTGCAGTAAGATGACCAATTAAGTTTTATTCAAGTAAGTAGAGTATGTATTCAAGTAAGTAGAGTATACAATAACTATTTTTTAATATATGTTAGAAATATATTAAAAATTCTCCTTCATACATTTAAATCACATACATATATACATAAATTTCAGACTAACATGACTTATATTCAAATATTAAATATATTTCCTATTATATTCTCAATACTGCTGTTCACAAATATTTTAATCTTATGTTTTAAAATTCACACACTTCTAACAGTTGATAAATAAGTTTGAATTTTCTTTGAATTAAGATTTCTTTGAATTTTCGTTGAATTAAGTCATTAAGTAATATTATTAATTAATGAAAAAATAATTTCTTATCAACTACTGGCCCCAGAAATAAAAAATGTAACATTACAGTACCAAATATTATCCCCCCCTCTCCCCGTAATACTTAATTACCTGCATAATCAAATATTTATATGAGTAACTTACAGTAAAAAAAAATCATCATTTTCTTGGAAAAGCAAATGCAGTTGATTATCTAAAGTTATCTAAAATGGTAGTGAAATATCCTTCTCAACAAGCTAGTAACATACAGAGTTAACAGGCTGTTTTTAGAAGTGGGTAGTATACTTCATGTAAAGGCCTCTTTACATGAAGTATACTACCCACTTCTAAAAACCACAAGAGATTTTCCCAAAAAATACTAAACAATTACTATTTTTATATCATAATTTAAAGATGACCAAATAAAAGCTTTGAAACATTATGTTACACTGAAAAATCAGAAAATCAACAAATTTAAATTAAGGGAAAAGGAATTTTTTAAAACTTAATATTGAAATAAAATACTGTTTTAAAATATTAAAAATTCAGTAGAGACCTGGAAATAATTTTTTTTGGCAGATATTTGATTCACCAAATTTTTGGTAAAACAATAATACCCAACTAGAGCCAAATATTCCTCATGTAACTCGATATGCCAGATGATTTATATTTTCTTGATATTCATTACATTTCTAGGCCATAATGCTAAAAATAACAGAATGCTATAATGTTCTCTTTCTCATACCCATTAAAGTCAAAATTTCTGACAGTTTCACCTAAAACTTCCTAACCATGATGAAATTCCTTTGATGCAGAACATAAACATTATTTCAGGCTATTCCTAACACATGTAATTATGGAAACACTCCCCCCCCCAAAAAAAAAGAAGAGGAATTAAATAAATCTGACCACAGATATCTACAGTTCCCAGCCATCACATTACTTGTGATATGAGCAATCAGCCTTGAAAAAAATTAAGACAAGCAGCAAACCAGTAAAAATAAACAAATGTGATATAGTTGTCAAATAATAATATAAGTTTGTCATATCACTACTTAACTGAATACGTTCAATGAATCATCATAAAAATAAAACCTTACATATATATACATGTGTGTGTGTGTGTGTGTGTGTGTGTGTAAGGCTACACACACTGCTGGCCATCAAAATTGTAACACCATGAAGGAAAGCAAATATAAAAAAAGATATTTAATGTATGTAAACAGCATAGCATGAAGACAAAATGATTAAATTTGTAAGCAGTTTGGGGGTTTACAGGGGTGCGTGCCAATTATGTTAGAAATATATTAAAAATTCTTCATACATTTAAATCACACATATATATATACACGCACATACATATATACATAAATTTCAGACTAACATGACTTATATTCAAATATTAAATATATTTCCTATTATATTCTCAATACTGCTGTACACAAATATTTTAATCTTATGTTTTAAAATTCACACACTTCTAACAGTTGATAAATAAGTTTGAATTTTCTCTTTAAGTCATTAAGTAATATTATTAATTAATGAAAAAATAGTTTATCAACTATTGGCCCCAGAAATAAAAAAATGTAATATTACAGTACCAAATATTATTCCCCCCTCTCCCCGTAATACTTAATTATATAAAATATACAAATGCCCATCTGGCTCCTAGTTTTTCGCAGGCCTAAATAAATAAAATGGAACATAAAACATAATTCTTCTTCTCAGCAAACACAAAAATCTAATTTTTCTTCATGTGATAACATTCATGAAATTAGAATACAGAAAACACCCAAATCATTAACAACTTAATGATAAATAAATTAATAAAAATTTCAGAAAAATAAATTTCTTAAAATTGTCCCAAAATTGCCCATTTTTACTGTTATAGAAAATAAAGTATATATGGAAATACATAGAGAAATTACTATTACCTCTATGTTGGCATTTCACAAGTAACATGCATTAAAGTAAAGTGAGACACATGTTAAACCCAGCTTACATTCAATATGTCCTTTGGAATTCCCCCTATCTTTATATATTGAATTACCAATGCTGCTGTCTTTTACACAACTAGCAGTTGCATTTTCAAATTTTACCTGCATTTCATGCAATTTTCAGCTCTGTAAAGTACAAAGCATTACATTTTACCCTATCAGCTATTTAGAGAAGTAATTTTTTAGGCCAAACACAACTTCCAAACAAATAAACCTGTGTCTAAAAGCTTAGATAATCATGCTTTGCGTATGGTATGGCATTGTCTATTTTGAGCTCTCGGAAATAAATCATGCTATTAATTCTGATATATACAGGTATCAACTTGAGTGTCTGCATCAGACTTTGCTTATCAAACACCAGTAATGATCAGTAGAAGAGGAGTAATCCTGCAGCAAGGCAATGCCAACCATATTATGCAAGAATGACTAAACAAAAAATCCAGAAGTTTAAATCCTATATTCTTCCTCATCCAACATATTCAATGAATATCATCTTATCAGACTAACTGCTTCCATGCAGTATTTTCAAAAAAATAAAATATTTAAAGATTGGAATGATGTCCATCATGCAGTCTCTTAGCTTTTCAATTTGAAACCAAATGATTTCTTCTAGAAGGATGGTATTATGAAGCCGCCAGAAAGATGGGAGAGTGTTAGAGGACGGGACACAATATATCGATGAATAAAACTTTCCTTAAAAATTATAATTTCTCTCTTCATAACCTCATATTTAATGCTGAAATTATATTTTATTTATATAAAATTTGTTGCAAGTATACCAGCTTTACATAGCGAGTTTCATACCTTCAAATGGTTTATGAGTAAACCACGTCAAACAAAAGTTAATACTGGAAATGAATGAATGAGTGTAGTCAATGAGTAAAGAATTAAAAAATCTGATTTAAAACAAGATCACGTTTAATAACACAGATTTGCTTCAATAAATAAATAAAATTTAAGTTGACTTATGTATACAGTCTAGTTTTAGTAAAATATATCTTCGGGTACAATTCATTTTCGTCAATTGTTGACTGCACCTAATGTAAATAAACAAAACAAATAAAATGATATTTTAAGCAAGCTTTTTTAAAGAAATATAAATACATAAATCATTACTGGGAAATTTTATCATGAACACACAGATAATTTTTACTTAAATAACTATAAATTACTTTTCATGCCCAGAGTACAGTTTAGTAGAATCTCTAAAGGCAATAAATAAAACTGAAAATAATATGCCATTTTTAAATCACTGTTTGCTTTTAGCAGATTTTTCTTAAGAAAGAAACTTATAGTTATGCTGTTTTAAAAAGCAAACACTAAATCCTATTTATATGTTAAAGTCATACAGCTACGAAAAGTAGTTCATGTATTAATTGTTCAATGGAATACTCGAGGAGAAAATTTTTATACAAAGTTAGCAAAGGAAAACAAATTGCCTAAACACAGCAAACTTATGTTTCAACATATAACTCAATACTTCTTCAGAATTCCAGCAAATTTCAGACAATCACAAAATTATATAATTATGTGGGGCTTCAAACTTCGTTCGGATGTACACACAAAAAAGAAGGGGGGCAGAGGATAGCTCTACACTGACTACCAATAAGTATTTAGACACCTGTGATAGAAAAGAAAAACTAACTTTATTCAAAATCAATAGTTGGTAGAGCCTTCACGAGAGGTAATTACAGTGTGAACCCTCCAGGGCATACTTTCCACAAGTCTTTGTATGACAGCTGGTGGTATTTTCTTCCACTTGGCTTGGAGAAGACATAGAAGTTCCTTCACCGATTTTGCATGGGTAGTGCACCCCTGAATTCGGCGATGCAGCTCGACCCAGAGGTTCTTGATAGGGTTCAGGTCTGGACTCTGGGCAGGCCAGTTCATTCAATGAACTCCATTGGCACCATACCAAGGCTTGGTTAATGTCGAAACATGACAACTGGCATTGTCGTCCTGAAAGTAACAGGGATCCAACCCGTAAAACTGTCACACCGTAGGAAGCACATTGTCATCCAAAATAGTGCAGTAGGCATCGGAGTTGAGCTTACCATGAATGGGGACCAAGGGTCCCAGCCCATACCAGGAGAACACCCCAAACCATAATCCACTCCGCCGAACTTGACTGTTGGCACAATGCATTTTGGCAGGAGACGTTCTCCAGGTAGATGTCCAGACCCAGACCCTGCCATCCGAACGGTAAAGGGTGAACCTTGAACCTTGATTCGTCACTCCAAAGAACCCGTTTCCACTGATTACGGTCCAATTTCGATGTGCTTTGCATCACATTAACCGAGCAGCGCGGTTGGACTTTGTGATCAAAGTCTTATGGGCAGCAGCACGACCATGAAAACCAAGCAGATGTGCTTGCTTATGAATGGTATTCATTGAAACAATACTTCAAGATGCCTGTTAAAACTCCTCGTGGATGAGGGCCAACGGTTGGGTGCGGTTCTTCTGAATTTATCTGGACAGCACTCATCGATCTCTATCTCCCAGTTTCGTTCGTCTGCCGACTCGGTGGCACATTCCGACAATCACCGCTCACCTTCCACATCTTAATCACATAGGCCACTGTCAATTTTGGGTACTTCAGATCGCTAGATTTGTCCCTTAAGGATCGGCCACATTTCTGATACCCGATAACTATACGTTTCTCGAAATCAGAGAGCTTCGAACTGCGAGGCATCTTGCATGCGACTAAAGCCGATACTGTTTCCTACACGATATATACCGGCGGAGTCCGTGACGTATCTTAGGACCGCAGATATTGTCATTTGCATAGGTGTCCAAATACTTATTGGTAGTCAGTGTATGTCTCCCATTCCACTCGGCCAATTGACCAAATTCAACTTGCATTTTCTATATCTCGAAAGTGCAACTTGGGTTATATACAGAGCATTGTTCTAACATATGCATTTTGACATATTATCAGACTTTTTCTGAAATGACATATCAATTTTTTTCCATATTTCATTTCTATGTTGTGCTAATGTGCATAATTTTGTAAAAATCAATAGCAGCAGTTTTCTAAAATTAGCAGTCAAAATTTTAACCCGCAAAGTTAACTGAATTTCGCATATATTTAATAATATTGACCTTAACATTAAACATTTAAATTTAAATGCATATTATTATTTTGCATAATATTCACTTTAAAATTTATTTTCTAAGTTGAGTTATAATCTAAAGAAGTTTTACCATCATCTTAAATCAGATGTATTTACAGGCCCCTGCAAAACATTAAAATTTTTTATTGGAAATTTTGAAAGATATACAGTAACTTATATACTGGACTGGTGCATTTTGAAATTTGGCACATTTGTTATAAGTGATAAAAATGCCAAATGGGGTTTACACATGTTATTACAATCTTCAATCAATTGAGACAATTATTTTGAATCTTAAATTTCCAAATAAAATTTTACTGAAGATTATTCAGATGGAATTTCTTTATTTTCATTTTTATTAATAGTGTCTAATAAATAATTATTAATAATATATGAAAAGCAATTTATAAATAAACATTAATCAAAAGTTGAATTTTTTTTTTTTCTTTCATAAGATTAAATTTTTTTAACATCGCCCATTTGATTGTCTGCTATTTTACTAAATTCATTTGACATAAATATATATATATATATATACAGTCAAAAGTGTTTAATCCGGACTCGTCGGGACTTTGGCAATTCCGGATTATAGATCATCAGTTTAAATCTGGTAAGATGGCACGCAGAAATTATAAAATTAAAAATATGAAACCGTAATTTATGAAATAAAGAGCAATTATGATCTAAAGGTATCAAAATTTACAAAAAAAAGCTTTATATTTATTTGTTTACTTTATTAAACATTTCTTTCAACACGCGCATGCGTAAAGCATACATTACACATAGTCGAAATTAGACAATTGCAACCAGAAAACTATTTGATGTTTATTCGTGATATTTATAATGATGAGGAATTTGATTTAAATCATATCAAAGACGGAGTACATCGAGATGAAATACTACATTTAGTATGGAATTATAAGCCAAATAAAATAAAAACATCTGCCCTGAAGATAAGGATAGTGCTGACAGGTCAACTTCCAGTTCATTGCGCACCGCAATGTTTCCCCCCGCAGAGCAGCATGAAATTGATAAACATATTTCAGAATGATTAGAGAATCAAAGGATATGCCTTTATCCTTTTTTTTTTTTTTTTTTTTTTTTTTTTTTTTTTTTTTTTTTTTTTTTTTTTTTTTTTTTTTTTTTCTTTTTTTTTTTTTTTTTTTTTTTTTTTTTTCCCTTCAGCAATTCCACTTTTTTTTTAATGGACATCGAAACATGCTTTCGCTTTGTAGATCTTTTGGTAGCTACAGAATCGGAAATTCTTTTTGACATAATTGAAAGCTCAAGCTTACTTTTATAAAATTGCTCTAACAGTCTGCAAAAAGTAATAAGCCGGATCCAATTAGAAGATTAAGGAACAACGTAATCTGCAAAACTGACTGAAATAGATAATTTTAGTTTAGCTTATACCGTCCGTTATACATTTAACGCACATGAGTAAACATATTATGCGCATGCGTAAACGTATTATGTGCATGCGTAAAGGCATGCGTTAACACATTATGCGTTGACGCATGTGCAGAAAGTTTGTAGCTTTGAGGTCTGGATTATAGATCTTTCTGGATTATGGACGTCTGGATTAAAGAATTTTGACTATATATATAAGTAAAAAGAACAAACGAAAAATGCTTACTATTAGTATTGATTTTTATGTGCAAATATTCAAGTGTTTCTATTGTTTTTTACTCTATGTAACACATTTCATTGCGCCTTATTTTATTTATGTTAATAGTTTCATGGAATCACAGTATTTAAGCAACTTTTTAGCGTACAAACTAGGAATTTTCTTTTAATTATATATATATTAGCAGATTTGAAAATTGTGCATCTTATACGCATTCATTACTTCTGAGAAGGTCAAATAATATAGCAAAAATATTATGAATAAAACATGCTGTCCTCTGCTACAGAAATGTTTAATAGAGGCAAAATTTACTAGATGATTTTTACCTTCTTTTATGTAGCAAAAGTAATAAATAAAAATGATTCTAATGATGTTTTATGTCAAAACTTGTCTGTCCTATAATTTAGAACAAATACACTAAATTGTGATTTATCAAGATTGAATTGATAAGTACTGTTACATTTATTTTTATATTATTATTTTGGTTACATTTTCTGTTATATTAGAATTTATTGAAATTCTTCTTGCAAAATAATTTAAAAATTGTCTTTCTCTGTCGACATATAATTTTATTTCAATCAAAGTTCTAATACCTCTCTCTACTTCTACTTTTTCCATTGTCTCTGCCAAAAAAATACAAATTAAGTTTAACTAACAAGTGACAATCTAAGTTCAGAAAGACAGCACTGGTAATTCAACCACTGGTGCTGTGTCAATTACATTCCTCTCGCTTGGATAACTATACTGGCTTTCAGTTAAGATTCTAGTTTTCTTAATTTAGAAACCTCTCATAAATTAAGTTGATTAGTCATTTACATATGGCAAAGCACATGAAGGCGATCTGCCTAAAGGGAGGTATTCCTTCATGGAGGACTTTGCTACAGAAAAGTGGCTTGTATTCATGTTACACCAGGGTTTGTACACATTTCTGCACACGAAAATTAAGTACTTTTAGGGACCATTAGTGAAAAAAATTAAGGACCTATGAGCAAATAAAAACTGAATAAATTCTGTTAAAAATATTATCTATGCCTGAACTTCACTTTTGTAATACCATCCTAAAAATAAAATAGATCTGTAAGTAGGATGCATTATTATTAAATGTAACATAATTATTAATAAGTTTGAAAATAAAATAAACTTTATGAAATTTATCAAGTAGCATTAAACATTTTACAATTATAATATTTGGATATATTTGAAAGAAGATAAGTGACATTATATTTAAGATTTATTTTTACGTCTCATTTTTGTCTTTCTCAATCTAGAGATTTAGTAAATAGCAGGTAGATTTTATGTGAAGTGGCACAGGCTAAAATGAGAAGTAAAATCATAATCAACATGATTCACAACAAAAGACTGTCTGTTGTCTGCTTCCCTAATGAGACATCTGCTGATCAGAACAAACTTGAAAGGCCTGATGTAGGCAAAGTTGGCAAGCTTTCAAAGTTAGTAGGGTTCTGTCTGATGCAGTTAGTGTCGTCTGTGTGTAGAGTTCCAGGGGTTGTAACTTCATTAATGTACTTTAAGTTTCCAGTAAGCCACTAAAGCACCAGATGTGATAAGTTTGTTGCATTGCTTTAAGTCTCACTAGATGCAAAGAATGAATTTTACATGAATTTTTATAGTTTTGTGTTTTATCGTGTGACCACGGTAAGGATTAATGAAAGGCAATAATTCGCTTTAATATGCAGAGATAAATAGTTAGTTATAGATAATTACATTATGTAGTTAGACAATCTTAGTCATGGCCACTATTAAATTTTATTTATTTTAAAAAAGCCCTAATAAAATCAAAATCAAATAAAATTTCAGTTTAAAATATATGTAATTTATGGCATTGATTCTTAAACAATACTAGGAAAATTACACACCAATTGCTGCAAAACATTTATGTTTTGTAGAAACAACACTCAACAAAATATTTATGCATCTTTTTAATTTGAAGCCTTCCCAGACATTTTGGCTAATTTATACTGATTTCCTTCTCTTTAAGCATCTTTTTTAACCCTTTCCGGTGCAGTGTGTTTGGTGTGAACACACCAAAAATATTCCCTCTTTAGACACTGAAAATAATTGATAAATATCATGAAAACTACACTAATGGTTACTTTTAATTTCTTTTATGAATAATAGATGACAGCACCACACAAGCAAATCATTAACGTTGGGATATATTCTGTTTTTAAAGACACTGATTTTTTGAAAGAAATGTTTCAGATTTTTTTTTTTTTTTTAAATATAGAGAATCTTTGAAATCAATGAAAAAAATCTTTATATAACTTTGTTCATATGCTAATCTGCCTATTCTGTATTACTTTTAATTTTTATCTTTGAAATATTGCGTATAGTGAAGCCTTCAGTGTTTGGTGTGTTTGGACTGAACACACTGTACTGGTAGTGCCTGTCACGTGGAAGTGAGTCACAGAATCTGGTCTTGTGCTTCAAACACGGGGGAGGCTGAGAGCGCAGATTTATTTATTTTTTTTATTTATTTGTTTTTATTTTTTCTGTTTTTGGTTTTGAAGAATACGGTGCTTTGTTTTCAACTTAGCTTATTTGATTTTCAGTGAAAGAGCGGACCCTTTTTTTTTTTTTTCTCTTTGCTTTCATCGTGCGTAGTTTGCTTAGTTTTGATTTCTGTAGATTTTTATTTTTATATATATTTAATAATTATTTTTTTTCTAGTCAATAATTAATTGTAAATATTATAGTATTTTAATTAATTTTCTTGTAAATTTTCAAATTGTGTAAATGGCTCGGAGAGGCCTCAGCATTGTCGAAGCAATGAGAGTTTCCTTTTTGGGGGGAGGTGTAGAGTAGCAGGCCTCCCCATGGTGCATCCTGGGTTATGCTAAGTCTGCTACAGAGATCACATTCTACTGTTTTTAAATCATAGACAAAGTATTTTACTGTAATACGTGCTTCACAGTAACGCTCACCTATTGCAGCTCGTGCAGCTCAATGTGTTCGCTTTGGAAACACCCACAAAATGGAAACGGTTTGTGCAATCTTTATAAATTATACCTGCATACTCTCCTAGGCCTAAATAGACTGCCTAAAAATTTTTTTGGTAAAATTGCAACTTTAAAGAGCAACGTGCCAGAAAGGGTTAACAATTAGAGATTTGTCTCAATGTGCAAATCAATGTTCTCACTAGTTTCTGCATGCTTTATCCCCTAACTTGTCAAACTCTCTATGATGTAAACTGTGAAAAAAAAAAGTTATAATATTTCCTGTTTTACTGGACCGATTGATGGTTTTCAAATTGTGTTTTTTATGTCATGAAAGCATGATATAAGCTATGTATTAGATTTATATATAGCATTGTTCAAATGTAGGTATTTTGACACAAAATCGGACTTTTTATGAAATGACATGCCTATTTTTTTCCATATTTCGATTCTAAGACTCAAACTATGCCCAACTGCCAAGTTTTGTCAAATCGCACAAGTAGTTTTTAAAAAATTAGCTCTCAAAATTTTAGCTCCTCAATGTTAATTCAATTTGGTATGTATTTATTAACATCTCTTTTTTTAGGAAACTTATTTGATTCCTTCCTATACAGTTTGAAATTTAGGTTCATTCCAAATAAAATTCACCCATTTTTATGATTTATTTTTAAAATTTCTATTTTTAAATAATTTTTATAAATTTTTCAAAAAACACTTTCGAGTTATAATTTAAAAAAATTTACAACCATCTTAAAGTAGATGCATTTCTAAGCATACCTGAAAAAAATTAGAGCTTTTTATTCAAAATTTCCGAAGATATACTTGAATTTATATATCGGTGTGTTTTGAAATTTCGCATATTTGTTGAATGTGATAATAACGAAAATGTGGTTTACGCACTTTGTTAAAATTATTTCAAAGTACGAACGATGCGACTTTTTTTCCCACTCATCCACAATGTAAAAAGGTAGGAACGATGTGGCTTTTTTTACGCTCCTGCACAATGGAAGGGAAAGGAAAATAGGTTGCCATATATTAAGTAGTTCGCCAAGTGAATTATTTTTGGCTCAAACTGAAAAAAAAAATGTGGAAAGTTAATTTTTAAATTTCTCCATAGATTTTGCACCAAATTTTACAAAATTTAATATTTAGGTATAATTTATAGAATCAAAATATGGGAATAAACTGGTATGTTATTTCAGAAAAAGTCCTATTTTATGTCAAAATACCTACATTAGAACAAAGCTGTATACAAATCTGATATATATCCTAAGTTATGCTTTCGAGACAGGGAAAATGCAATTTGAATTTTGTCAATCGGCCTAGTACAACGGGAGATATATAGAATTCCCCTTTTTTTTTTCACAGTGTACCTATGAGGGTTTACTTGATCTGGTAAAACTAAAATAATCTCAAACACCTGGGAGACGTGAAGCAAATTATCGCTATGCCCGAAAGTAACTACAAAGTCAGACAAAAGTTTAAATAGGCCTCTTAAAACTTAAAACATAACGACAGATTCTTATGCTAAGAGAAAATCACTTACAGCTCATGGTGATGTAATTGAACAAGAAGAGTCAAATTCAAACTAAAAATGTGGACTAATGGTCAAAGACTATACAATTAAATTTTAATTTAAGCTGGCTCAGTAACTCTATCATCATAACAAATTCAAATTCAAATGTTGGCAGTGATAATGCAAAGACGAATAATTGCAAATTATCAGAGCTGGAAGGAATTAATGCAGCGAGCAAGCGGTGATCATAAACACACTCTGTCTTACACAGCTGAATTTAGCAGAAATTGGCAAAAGATGAAAGAAATTGGCAAAAGATGAAAAAAATTGGCATTTTATTTCAGAAAAAGTCCGATTTTATAAATCTAATATATATCCTAAGTTGCGCTTTCGACATATGAAAAACACAATTTGAATTTTGTCAATCGGCCTAGTAGAATGGGAGATATAGAACTGCCCCCCCTTTTTTGTGCAGTATACATGTTTTCAATACAAAGATTCAATAATTTATATACAGAATACCTTATGTCTAGTAAAAAGGCTACAGAATCCAGAACTCCTACTTGGAGAGCATTTATACTGAAAGAAAAAACCAATAATGATAAAAAATTTCATTCCATAAAAGAAGAATCAATTGTAAATCCACTGGCTCATAAGATTTATCATTTTCTCTTTACATGAATATCCCAAAATTCCGATTATAAAATTACCTTTGAAAAGAGTTTCACCCGACAGCTCTATTCATGTTTTCAGTTCAATGGTTATGTGGTGTCCTAAATACGCGTACTGTATTCTCATTCTAGAATATCACGCCAGCCTTGCACAGCTCTCTGTGTTGAACACAGAGAAAATTGGGATGAAGTTAAAAAATAATGTAATGGTGTTTTCCTTTATGGAAAAAATGTGGATCCTAATATTCTAAACATGGATGACTTTAACAATTCCTAATTTTTTTGTAAAATCTGCAGAAATTCTTGGAAAAATAATGTTTTAACAGAAAATATCTATAAGGTTCATTATATCTGATTTTCATACTCTTGGAGGTTTGCTTTAACAGCATTAATGTACAAGAAACTGGATGGGACTAAAAGGTTCATTCGTTATAAGTCGGGTTCGTTGCAGTAAGGTTTGATTATATATATAAAACAATCATAGAAATAATATTTTATCTAAAGCAATTCTAAGAATAATGTATTCTCAGTAAAAATATTCAGTTTTCTATAAATAAATAAAATTAATTGTGTACACTTAAACAAATAACCATAAAAGAAATTTATAAATAATTACCTGCCTAAACCACCTGGAGACATTAATATAAGACTCCTTTTCTTGGAATGTCATTTTGGACTAAGGGGGGAAAAATCATAGTTATTTAATTTTTTTGTGATTTATAAACACATATTTGTTTTTCATCCAATAGAAATAATACATAAATAACATTTGATCTACACACCTTTACTAAAAAAACGGTATTTGTTGGAAAATGTATATACACGACATTATTTCCTATGGAAACATTTAGGAAATGAATGTAGAACTGTTTCCATTTATTTCAGAGAACTTTAGTTTGACTCCAAATGGTAAAAACTGATCGAGATATTTAATTTTAAATTTTGAGAGCAAGTTTTCCGAAAATTAGGAATCGTACATAAATGAAAGAGTGAAATATTTAATTCTGTCTATAGCTAAAAATGAAGTGCCAGTTCAAGGAAAGGTTTCTGTTAGTTATAGATTAAGTGCTGAGCATTGGTATGCAGATTGTCATGAAAAGTTTTTATCAGTGCAAAACCTTTTTGAAAAGAGGACCTTTAATGTTATTTATATAATATTAAAATAGAATAGAGAATAAAGTTTACCATTGGAACTTTATTCTGCAATTTATGATTAATAGAGAAGTCAACAATAGCATTCAACTTTTTGATCTCTTAATTTCAAGAAACGGTGATATTCTTCAGACTACAATCTATCAAAAACCAATTGGCAATCTAGCAATAATGGCATATGGCTCTTTAATTTCATCCACATAAAAAAGGTACTTTTTATTTTTACATAAGTGATGCCAAAAATTTCTATTCTACAACAAATAAATGAAAATTTTGTTAGAACATTCATTTATTAGATAATCAATGATTTGATTATAAACTTGCCATTACCCAAGCCCCTCCTTCTGGAAATTGTTAAGACCAGATAAATTGTACATCATCACAAATTATACTTAAAAGTGTAAATACTAACCCAAGCCATAGTGAAAGTACAAAAACAGAAATGCAATACATTGGTTCAACATATTAAAAAATATCAGTATGAAATGCCAAACATAAAAAAAGATATCTATAAATTCCCTGTCAACAATTCATCAATGAAAACTGACATCTTAAGTGATAGACATTATCTCCTCTGAGCATCCTCATTCAATAACTGAATGGGACAAAGCCTAAATCATCACCAAACTCCAACACAAAAGCAGCCTCAAAATTAAAGAACTGCTTGAAATTGCTAACAAACCATGCTGCAATAGACCTTTCCTCCAATCTTCTATACATCTCGATACTAATTCTTAAAACAGCAATCCTGCAGAAAACAATAAAAGAAAACAAACTTGATTAAACCATATTCCAGCTAATAAAACAGATCAATCATCTGCAAAAAAGCTTCTTTTACTTATGTTTAAACGGGGTTTCTCTGAGTCAACCTAAAATATTTTATCTCAATTATAACTTCATTTCTTTAACCCTGTGTGCCAGTTCTCTAATATGCTAATAACATTCACTTGCAGTTTCATTTCTTAAGGATCATAATCTAATAATCGTACACAAACATTCTTTGGACTAGAAATATATTTTTTAATATTTATATAAATAACATTAAAGGTCCTCTTTTCAAAAAGGTTTTGCACTGATAAAAACTTTTCATGACAATCTGCATACTAATGCTCAGCACTTAATCTATAACTAACAGAAACCTTTCCTTGAACTGGCACTTCATTTTTAGCTATAGACAGAATCAAATATTTCACTCTTTCATTTATGTACGATTCCTAATTTTCGGAAAACTTGCTCTCAAAATTTAAAATTAAATATCTCAGTCAGTTTTGACCATTTGGAGTCAAACTTTTTAGAAGGAGTATAAATTTTTACTAAAAAAATAATTATACAGTAGGAAAAGTTACATTTATAAAATTAAAATATCTATTTTTTAAAATTAAATTCAATTATAAAAATACCAAAACATGAATATTTGCCTTGCTAAGCATTTTTGTTATCTGAAGTATATGTCCACAAACAAGGATTGCGAGAATAAAGGATTGTGTATTGGAGGAAAAGAAAACATTAAGAATACACATAAAGCCAATTCTCTATGCCCCAGTGTTCTTATTGTCATGATAATATCCATGGCATGCTAATATAAGACTTTAATGATAAGAAACATTTTAATCAATTATTAAATCAAATGATTAAAAGGATGATTTAAGGATTGTTTAGGAAGCAACAGCAACAAAGATATCAATGTGAGTGAGCATAAAAAATGCACACATAATGTTTGGTTGATTTTAAAAATTCTGGTTTATTATAAATAAAAATTTGAAAACTAAAATGCCTGTTATTATTAAATTATTTTACATACATAATGATTTCTTAAATTTTTACCATAAAATATGTTTAAAGCTTCTTTTAAAAAAAGTCTAGAGTATTGTTTTTAATAAAGTAAAAGTGACTACAATAAAAGCTCCAGTATCAACTTACATAAATTCTATGAAGACTTAAAAATAACAGAAGGTCAACTATAGTAAACCTATTGCTGATAAAATACACTTTATCTTCTAAAACCATGTTCAACTCCTGAAAATAAACATATACATTTTAATAACAGAGCTTATTTATGTATCTTCAAAACGAATATCAATATTTTATATATTATTTTAAATGTTTAAATTAAATAAAATGTATAATTAAAATAACCTCAAATACATTTAACGTAAAAAAATTAAAATAGCCTCAAAACCAGAAAGACTAGAATTATAGAACTATTCTGTCACAGAACATCAAGTTTTTCAAAACAGATCGCTTCATAAGGGCTCACTACAAACCTTTATGATCACCTTTAGATGTTTCTATCTGTATTGCAAAGTGTTAAGTATATCGACAAGGAGAAACTGAACAGGAGTTTCTAAAAATAGATTTTGTGAGTGATATTTATTGACCATTTAAGAATACCTGATTAAAATGAGCTTTAAGGGTACTTACTCGTGTACAAGCCAGGCCTTCTGGTACATGGCAGGTTATGATCTACCGATTATCGCTTGCTACGCAGTGTGTGTGTGTGTATGTTTGCCATTTATAAACTATTCTTGTAATCAGAAATTGTTCACAATTAAAAAACACATCAGAATGCATGGCAGGTATATAATAGCAAAGTACTTAAGTATATGTGCAAATATATCTCACCAGCCTTAAGCATATATGTTAAATAGACATATAACAAAACTAATATAATTCAGGTTTAATTTTTTTCAGGGCACAACAGCAGCAAGACAAACTTTAGTGGAACATATCTTCAGTTGCCAATCTCATAATACATCATCAATAGAGTACAGTGGACGTTCACTAAGCTTTCTGTTGATAGCCATGAATTTGAAGGTTTTCAGACAAACAAAATACAAAATTTTGAATTTGTAAAGAAATATGGAAAAGTAGTAATAAATGAAGATGACATAACAGAAGTATTCAACTGAGATGACAACAGCATAATCAATCAACGAATAGACAATGAAATGTGTAGTGTAGCTTTAAATTCAGAAAATTCCTCTATTGATAGTGAAGAAAGTGATAGAGATGATACTAAGAATGAAAAAATTTCAATTAACAATTTAGTGGGAGTTCTCCAGATGATAATTAAAGGATTTTAACTTTGTAATCAAACAAGAAATTATGTTTATCAAATTAAACAGAAAGCAACTTGTATATAGCACAAAAAATCAAGCAACTTATTTTGGAAGAAATATAAATAAATATTGAGCTTTTTTTTTCCCTAGTTTTGTTTTTGTAGTTTGATTCTCTTATGGTAATAAATGCTTCATTATTTCATAAACAACTATTTTAGATTTTTAATTTTATAATTTCTACATATCATCTTAATAGATATAAGCTGATGAGTAAAAACAGAATATTCCCAAATCTGGAATTACTGAAATCCCAATGAATCTGCATCTTGGACTTTGCATTGTAAAGCGAATCAGAATTCAGTTATTAGTAATTATTAGTACAGCTATTACAATAATCAACTGCTATATTAACAGCCTCATAAACCACTAACTATGCTGTTGTTATTTTATGCAAATAGCTATTGTAAAAACAAATAAAACTGTGATTATTGGAAAGTTTCATTACCAATGCACCCTCCATTGGTGATGAACATCTCTTTGAAGTGAATAACTGCACTTTCATTTTTAAATGTTAAAATTCCATTATTGTGACAATGATTACATAATAATAAATTTTTCTGAACATTGTCTGGGATAAACAATATCTTTTACATTTTCTATTGATGAATAAAATCAAAGAATTGCACACGGATGATTTTGTGGATTAAAAATGCAGCATATCAATATTAAAATCTGAATATCCAATGCAAGAGCAAATATAACTTTGTATCTCACTGGAATAGCTCACCAATGACTTTTAAAATAATTCATTTTATGCTAGCAAACATCAGTTTGTATGCACATAAGCATGATTTCTTGTTCAATTATGTTATAATCTAAACCAGTGATTCTCAACCACTGTGTCACAAGATTCTTGAAGTGTGCCGTCAAATTTTACGAATGCATACAATAAAGATTATTTGGTAATTTGGATTAATCTTAGATACGATTATCTGAAAATATTACATAAAGCTTTTGAGTGCACTATAATATTCCACATCTTATTAGTGCGGATTTAGGTTTTAAGTTTTTGCCGCTATTAAAAAAAATAATTCATATAAAAGTCTAAAAATTTTTTTTAATTATTTTAAAAAAGAAAATCTGAAAGATTTCAGATCTTAAATTACATCAAAAGGGGCATTTTTTAAACATTTTGTGCGTTACCTTTATTTATTAAATATCACGTTCCTCGCACTTAAACCATAAAATTCAGTTCAAGGGCAATATCATAAAATAATTTTAAAATGAGCATAAAAAACCGTGAAATACTTTAGTAGTTTTTTAAAGCATGAATCAAATAAGCAATAAAGAGAGCAATGTAGTTTCACAGAAAAGTAAACAGTAAGTCTTTTGATTTAAACAGTTTTTTTCTTTACATTACTCAGTTCAGTGAAAGACACTGATATCATACAGCGACTTTGACTTTTGAGACCAGGGTCATGTTTTGAGCAGCGAATGTTTGTGACTAATTTCTTAAGTTTATGGTACATAAATTAGGCATTTCAAGCAATAAAGACACAAATTAAAATCTTGGAAAAACAATCAAAGCAATCTGTGTATTGTCATTCAATCCCTATAGGCTGAAATAAGAAATGTAAAAAAACTGCAAAATCATTCAAGGGGAAATATCTGGAGGTTCAAGCAATACTTTGCTAAGGTTTCAATCAATGCAGTGCGTCAAATATTCCAGCAAATGGACTTGGGGGGGGGAATGATATCACATTGCAAAGGATGACTGGTTTTTCACTGAATGCCTGAATAAATTTTAATTGCATCATAGAATGCTATATCATTAACAGAGAAACTTCCCACCATTTCTCAATAAGTTTTTCATCAAATTTTACAAACTTTTGTTTTTAGGCATAATTTGAGGCATGGAATCGAAATACGGAAATTCATAAAAACTCAATAATTTCAAAGTACACAGCGGAAACACTGTAAGGAATTAAATATTTTTATCTCCAATACACGAGACTGTCTATCGAAAATTCTGAAGATATACTATTTTTAAATATTTTGCGATTTTGCTGTTGAATCATACTTTACGTGGTGCAAATGTCAAGAATGTGATATTTAATAAATAAAGTAAACAAATAAAACATTAATAATAAAAAGACAAAAAAATCACTTTTTAAAGCCATCTTAAGAAAACTGAACACTGATATGATGAAATGAGAAAAGACTTGGGGAGGGGTAATGTATACCAACACTTCACTGGGAATTCTACACGTATGCTGCTATGCTACTTTTAAAATTTCTGCAATTTTGCTGTTGAACTATATACAGCATGAGTGCAAAGAAAATTATGCTTTATTATTAAGCATCATTTCCTTCACTAAAAGGACAAAAAAAAAAGAGAGAGAGATGGGTAATAGGAATCAGTGCAACAGTAGACTTGTAGACTGCGTTGTCAGCGAGGGTGTAAAAACCTTAACAAACCCTTTTTGATGACTTAAAATGAGAAATCTTTCAGATTTTTTAAAATTAGTTTTTTAAGTGTTATTTCTTATAATATTAGCAAAAACATCCTAATACTTAAAATTAAAATGAACATTTGGAATTAGTTAATATGCAATCTTAGTAAAAATGATTATATTTCCATAATTAAATTGTCTCTGTATGAAACTTAAGAATTTAAATATGTGCTACTGCCATGTTTACACAGGAAATTTTAAGCCATTTCACTGTGTGAAATGTTTTTAAATTATGAATGTGCATTGTTAACATTGCATGCTTTACATTTGTTAAATAAAATGATAAGTAATAAATCGGTTATTATTTTGTATGCGCAAAACTTACAGCTTAAGCAGTGGTAACTATCCAACATTTGAATTAAAATGCTTCAGTACATGCACCCTTGGTCATATGACATACATCTATATGGTAATCAAATTCTCCCCGTACTCAGTGTAGCATGTCCATCATGATGGTCTGCACTGCATGCTTTATCCAATCAAACTTCCTCAAGGGTCACGGGCATTGGCGGTACATTAATTCGGTCTTTAACAAATCCCAAAAGAAAGAATTTGTATGGTGTTAGATCCAGGGAATGGGGTGGCCAGGAGAGGTGATTGCTGTCTGATGTTGCAGCACGTCCAATCCAGTATTGGTGAAGTACACGATTAAAAAGCTCCCGCACATTCCTGTGAAAATGGGATTGAGCACTGTCCAGTTGCAAAATTGCAAAATATAATCATCATAATTGGTGTTCAGCTAGGGTAACAAACAAGTTTCCAACATGTGTAGAAATGAGTCACCAGTCACAGTTTCTTGTTAGAAGAAAAATGGGGCGTGCATTTTTGCACTGGACACTGCACAGAAAACGTTTACTTTTGGAGAATCAAACTGATGCTCTATCTGTGTATGTGCTTTCTCATTTCCCCAGAAATGGATATTGTGTTTGTTCACCTCACCACTAGCATGGAAAGTGGCTTCATAACAGAAGATGAGTCTTTCGACAAAATTCATCTTCTCCATTTTTAACTGCATCTTTTCACAAATTTCACAAAGTCATGCCTTTTCACTTTGTCTCTGTGTGTAAGCGCCTGTATTAATTCCACTTTGTACAATTTAAAACATAGCCACTTATGCAACATCTTTCATAATGTATTCTTTGGCATGTCCAATTTTCTGCTTGTGTTAGTAAGTGATTTGCGAGAACTTCGCTGAAATGCCTTGTGTATTCATCGTTTGCATCAGACACATTAGATCAACCAGAACTCTTCACAAAGTGTCGATACTTCCTACTTATATTATTCTAGTGTGGTGAGTCTTCCTTAAATGGGGCATGAAACTCACACTGCACTGTAACCATAGATCTGGGTACCTCAAACGAACATATACCCTTGCGACTCCATCTTGCTGCGGCTGCACAGTAAGCATGACAAGCAAACAGTGGGCAGCACATAAGAAACTTGGACAATTGGCAATGCTTACAGTGTGCATTTTATCACAGGTAAGGTAACACATCAATTTATTATTAATTTTTAAAACCACATCATTCATTTATGTTCATAACAACAAGACTAACACTCAACATATTTTATTCAATAAAATTTTGCAGCATTATCATATAATTTCTATGCATTTAAAATTTGAAATAAAATGTTCTATTTGAACACATTAAACATTTTAACACATTTGATATGGTGAGGCCACAAGAGGGAAACTGAAGCATATTTTGTATGGTGACAAAAAGATGTTAATGCAGGAAAGTGGGAGAATTTTTAAATTTTTGGTTTAATGCAGAAATTTCACAGTATTTTCTATACACTAAGAGAATTGTTTTATTGCAATCTATTTTTCTATAGGAAGCAGGAAACTGATAAATAGCTTAGACCACTTTATTGTAAAACATGTTTGTAAAGCCTTATGTTTGAGTACATAAATCTTTTATTATTTAGAATTAATAACATACAAGAAAATGCATACTTTATATATAACAAAGGTAGTAATTTTATCATTGGGAAAAAAATACAAAATTCATAAGACAATTGCAGAGGAAATACAGAAACTGGATGAAACCTTTGAAACTTGGAATTTAAATCATAATTTTATAGGCAATGAGGATTAACATTATCCCTCACCTAAGAATAAAGAGTAAAACAAATACTAACCACTCAGAGCATTTAAAGGACTGAATTTGTAAAACATCAAGATAAAAAGAAAACAATTTACTCACTGCTTAACCTTATAGTCTTTGTATATCTCGATATATTAACAGAATTTCTGCTTTGCTTTACAGAAGTTAACTCTAGAAACTGCTTTGGTCTCATTTGTTTTCCAAATTCTGAAATGCTTTTAAAATTGTGCTTTTAGGGAAGCTATCATTTAAGGAAGAGAAAGTGATTTACATGTGCAAAGTACTACTTTTGTTTTTAATAAGTTTGTTGGCTAATAGTTATTTTATAAATGGAGAACTTTTTTGTTTTCTTCTGTTCAATGACTAAATCAATAACAGCAGATATTGACTACATAAAATCAGACAAATACTTACATTTCAATTGTAAACTACAAATGAAGAATATTTTAAGGAAGCAAGTTCAGATGTATCAGTAACCACTTCTACAAAGTATCATTTTGCTGCTTTGCTAGGGTTGGTTGAAAAATTTAATCCTAAGTCTAAGTAGTTGCATTCTGTACACAGCAATAACAGAAACAAGTAGTTCACAATTAAATGACATCATATATATTTTTTAATCAATCATCTTTTTCTGGCATCAAAGATTTCTACTTAACACATTGACTGCCAAGGCACTTTTTGGATTCCGGTCCAAGAAGCCAAATCAATGGAATCATATTATATTAAAAATACTAAAAAAAAAAAAAAAAAATCTGAAAGGTTTCAGATTTTAAATTACGTCCAAAGAGCTTTTTTTTAACGTTTTGTGTGTTACCTTTATTTATTTATTATCATGCTTTTTGCACTTAAACCATAAAATACAGTTCAACAGCAATGTCGCAAAATAATTTAAAATGAGCATATCTTTAGAATTTCCCATACACAGTTCCGCGCGCTGGAGATAAAAATGTTTTTCCACCTTCAGGTAGAGCATTGCCATTGCTTGCTTTTTAAATTGTTGAGTTTGTTAATCAAAAATTCGATACAGTTTTACAAAATATGAAACCGATAATAAAACAAATTCCAAATTTCGTCTTCCAGATGCCCATATTTGCAGTAGGATTACGTTATTCAAAATTTGATGGCTCTAGGTACCCTTGTTTTATCACAATGCAAGAAACATACATACATTTATGCAGATTCTTCATTATTTAATTTCTTCAAACATAATACAGGGCGATAGTAGAAAAGTGAAACAGACATTCAGAGTAATTCAATGCAAAATCCCAAAATGAAAACAACAGTCCTTGAGGGACAAAGCCCCTTTGGACTAATTATGATTCGTAACAATCATTAAAAAGTTTATAGGTTTTTTTTTTTTTTTTTTTCCCTTCACGAATTATCTTTTAGTTGGCTTTTGTTAGACAAAGCTCTTCGCAAAAGCCCACTATGAGTTGATTCGTACAGATATGCTTCAACAGCTAAAACAAGCGCTAGGTGAGTAAGTAACTCGTAGCGGTGCAAAAGTGGCAAGTCAAGAAACTATGAGGTAACTCGTATTGGGCGTTCTGAGGAAGAGCACTAATATGAGTTATCTGATTTTGGGTAACGTGTTAAGCAAACAAGGACAATGTACATTTCTGATTTTCTTCTTTAAATAACAAGCTTAGAAATTTTTCTATGAAAAGAAGTACTTTACATAAACTGCTTACTATAACTAAAAAGAAATGGAGGATTTGCCAAACATTTTTGTGTATATTTTAGTAGAAGCTCAAATTATACTTAAAAATGAAAATAAATTAACATATGAAAGAAATTAAAAGCAGCAATAGAAAATCTGAAATTTGAGGATATATTTATGATTTAAAGAGAAATATACTTGCAAAATTTCCAAAAATTCCGTAAAATTCGTGTCACAAAAAAATGCTGCTTAATTATGTCATGAAACAAGCAACTACACAAGCTGTAATATTTTTTCCCATTAATAAAATATAATCCCAAACAACTTGATGAAGAATGAAAGAAAAATTTAAATAAATGCAAAATAAAAATAGATTGGTTATTTGGAAAGTAAGGTCTGATCTCTTATAAAACATAAACTTCACAAACTTCTTTTCCAAAAAAAAAAAAATTTTTATTCAATTCCTTATATGTTTTTCTACATAGTTTTCATATTTGTTTAAACATTGGTCAAGCGTCCTACAAGATTTTGTAAGCCTAAATCATAGATGTCTGCCGCCTGTGAGGATAACCAGTTTTGAACTTCTTTCACATCATCTGTGGTGAGGTGCTTGCCACTGAGAAACTGCTTTAGGCAGTGGAACAAGTGAAAATCACTCAGAGCCAAATTTGGACTGTATGGTAGGTGGTCAATCTGTTTCTGTCGAAAAGATCTGATTAGATTTTGGGTGTGAATGGCAGAATGGGGTCTGGCATTGTCATGCAAAACTTCAGATGTCAGAAGGCCACATTGCTTATTCTGTCTGTATAACACTTCTAAATTATTCAGGGCAGTGCAGTAAACAGCTGCATTTATTGTTGCATAAACTCCACTAACAAGACCCCATGCCTATCCAACAACACAGTTACCATAACCTTCCGTGTTGCGACTGACTTTGATTGGTGATGCCATGCGACACCATTCCACTGACTGATGTTTAGACTCTGGGGTATGTGACAAATCCACGTCTCATCCCCTCTGACAATGCTCTCTAAAAAATTGATCACCTTCCTTATGATATCGGTCCAAAAAAATCAAGAGCACAAACCATTCTTTTTATTTGGTGTTCCTCAGTAAGCAGACTGGGAACCCAACATGTGCACAATTTGTGAAATTTCCAATTTTCAAAGACAATTTTGTGCAAAGTTGTCTGACCAACATTCGGAAATTCCAAGTTGAAATTGTGAATCATCGATTTTCATGATTCTTTTTGTCTACGGTATTGATCAAATCTTCTGTAATCACTGATGGTCGACCTGATTGCAGTTCATATGGACATTTTCCCATCCCTTTTTGAAAACTCTCACCCACTTAGGTACTTTGCTGTCATTCATTGTTTTGGGGCCATACATATTGCTTATTTGTCAAAGAATTTCCACTACTAAAATGTTCTTGCTGACAAAACCCAAACCCCTGGCCGTATTTCACAGTTGGCCAGCTGATCAATTGTCTTAAACATTTTGAACTGACACTGTACACAGCACACTGCAACGATACCAATGCAAATGAAGTTGTCTGACAAGCAAGGCATGCCAGGAGTCAGTGTGCATATGCGTTTCAGTGTTCGCATGATATTCAATTAGCTACGGCGATTCGGACCTTAATTTCCGAATAACCCTCCTAATGATCAATACGTTTCACATACTGTTAACATTTCCTGACATTCTTTGGAGTTCATATGCAGCAAACAATATTCTAACCACTGGTATACACTTGCCTCTTCCTCTTTTGTTACACCTGAAATAAGATTTATTCATTTGATTAACATAACAAACTTTAATTAATTTTTATTCAAATGATAAAATATGAAACAGACTAAATCATATGAAAATGTTTAATCAAATTATAGATTTAATACTTAAAAATTTTGGCACTGACATTTTAATTTTTAAATTTCAGAATTTAATGAAATTATTTTAATTTCCTACAGTATCTTCAATCACATTATTTTACACACTTAATAGCTACAGGGTTCATACACATTTCCTTACATGAAAATTAAGGACTTTTAAGGACCATCAAAGAAAAAAATTAAGGACCTATCAGCGAACAAAAAAATGAATAGAATAAAGCAATTATCCATACAACCGACTTCATGCTTGTAATTTCACTTTAAGAAACTAACAGAAGTGTGTATTATGCACTATTATTAAATTCAATTTAATACTTACCATAAAAACAATTTTGAAAATTAAACTAACTCCCTACAAGTTATGAATTAGATAACATTAAATTAGGAACATAATTTCTTGAAAAACATGTATAAGTGTATTTTACACTAATAACAGTCACTATTTTAGAGATTTACATGATTATTATTTAACTTATTTGATATTTATTTAAACACAGTCAACTACTATTATAATCACAATGTAAGAATATTTTGCAGATTAAAATAACTGATTTGTAAACATACAATTTATTTCCTTGGTTTTTTGAAAGATACTAGAATAATAAACTGTACAATAAAAGATACAAAACATTTGTGCTTTTTTTAAATCTGAAATCTTTTCAGCTATTTTAACATCTAATTTATTTATGTCTATTTCCTTTTCTTTAACTATTCTTCTAAGTTCATTTGCTTTGATAAACAAATCAATGTTCCTGCTGGTCTCAGCTTTATCTGCTAAAGCATCTACTTCTTCATTAATATCTTTAATGTCCCTTTGAAGAAATTTTTTCTTCTGCTTCATATAATCAATTTCTTCCTCAATAATATTTCTTTTCCTCTTTGAATTTTCAGATTTAGTTAAAGATTTTTGTTCTTCTAAATACTGAACGTTCCTCTAAATACTGAACTTCTAAATAACAAACTCCACTTCTTGCAGAAGCTGCTGCTGATCTCATTTCTTTATTAATTTCGATATTAAGAACACCTCCAGAAAATTTTATGTAATCAAATACTGTGCGTTGAAAAATGTATGATGAATCATTTAAATTTTCAATTCAATTGCTTTATTTACAGAGAAGAAGCCCCTTTCCACAGAGGCCTGTTCATGTGACAAGATAAGAATACTTGTCACAGTGAATACTTGAATAGTGAAAATATACATTTTTTACTATATATATATATATATATATATTTTATTTCCTAAACAATATAGATTAATTGATTATATTATCTCCTAAGTTTAATTAAAGTAGAATTATTTTAAAAGAGTGAATCCATACTGGTAAGTTATATTTTGAAAGATGTATATATATATATACAGTACAAAGTCCGAGATCCGGACATCCAATATCTGGAATGATCTAAAATCCAGACCTCAAAGCCACCACCAACCAATTTTTTTAGGGCTTTTTTTGAAGGGAAGGGGTATGCTTTACGTACGCGCATTAGATTTTTTCCCTCAACATAAAAAAACATGTCGGAAATCCCGATTCTTAATCTCAGTTTAGCGCTAAATAAAATATCTCATTATTGAAGAAATAATTATTTTAGCATAAATTTGTGTGATTAGTAACTTGACTCCATAGCTGCGTATCTGCTTGGCATAATCTCAAACCGAAACACATTTGTTAATTTTACACCAACTAATATTTTATATCCTTGATGCCGAAATCGCGAATCATTATTTATTGTATTTTGCTTTCATCACCGCATGTTTATCAACGGAATGACAACTTGAGTGATGAATCATGCAGCGATGCCAAATAACAGAGTATTATACGATTACAGATTTAAGTTTAATGCGCTAAAATGTTGACAAGGGGAGATTTAGCAGAAATTTCTTTCCTTATGCTAAAAATAGATTTTGTTAATGATACTCATAGGACAAACGATTATATTTAGTGCTATTTGAATTAAGAATAAACTGATTTGTTATTCACATAAAGCCAGAACCAGCGCCAGAGCTCGCATGGCCGCACCAGGCGGCAGAATTTAGCGAAGTTAAACAGAAGTTTTTCATTGCGATGACAATGCCCAATCATCAATCAATTAACGGAGGGCGAAATCTGTAGTATGGTTCTAAATCCAGAAAATACAGCTACCGATAGTGAAGAAAGTAACAGAGAGGTTACTGAACGAGAAAAAATTTTGATTGACAAGTTATTCGGAATTCTCGACACAGCAATTACAGGACTTGAACAATGGAACTTAATAACTGAACAAGAAATTATATGTCTATAGTATTAGTCTAAAGTATTAGCAGAGAAAACAAATCAAACAACTCACATTGAAAGAAATGTTTAATTAAAGTAAACATATAAATATTAAGCTCTTTTCTTTTGGTAAATTTTGATACCCTTTAAATCATAAATGCTTCATTATTTCATAAATCACGATTTCATATTTTCAATTTTATAATTTCTACGTGCCATCTTAGTAGATTTAAAATGATCTAATATCCGGAAAAATCTCAAATCTAGGATCGCCGAAGTCCCGACGAGTCCAGACCTCGGACTTTGTACACTGTATAAATATATATATATATATATATATATATATATATAATACGGAATGTATATTTTCAGTTAAACTTCTACCCAATAACTTTAGTAATTCATGAAAGTTAATTTTGCGTCTAGTTAATTCAGGAAAATTAGTTTCAATTAGTTGTTTTCAGCTTTAAAAATATTAAAAAATTTTAATTAGTTAGTTTTTTCAACTAATAATTGTATCGCCATTAGCAAAAATTATGCATTACTATCAAACAACATAGGTTTAAACCAAATACTTAATTGTCTATTGAAGCTTCAAAACGTATTTCCGAACTTCACTTTTTCTCGGCTAGCGTTACCGAATTTGCCCTTGGCGACCTAAAATCGAAATGGAGCCAACAGATTTCCCGCGAAATCGATAACAGACCCTCTGCAGAAATAAACTCATAATCCCGATATCCCATACATATAGTATGTGCAAAAGAGAATAAACTCCGTAGAAGGTGATAAAAAATTAATTTATGGCTTAATTGAAACAAACACAGAAATTAAGCTAATGTAAAAACAAATTGAAATGATAAACGAAACTTAATTTCTGAACTCTAGTGGGCTTTGACTTCCTCTACTAATTACATCTACTTATTTGTAAAGCAGTCAGTCCCTAATTAGGAGATGTGCGTTTCTCGCAGAACCACTTTTTTGAAATGCCTAAACTAGTTGCATATTATCGTTCAGATTTTGCAGAGTACTTGATTGATTTTCATTATATCTCTTTTTATTAAATTTACACTTTATATGCTATGTAATTCCAAAAATAAGCTTCGAATAGGATGAATATTTGCACATTCTACTGAATTGCCTAGATATGAAGAATTTCTCTACTTCCAGATTTTTACCCTTATGTCTGCATAACCTGCATGTATTCCATTCGTCTTCCTACTACCAATAGGAAAAAATACAGTTACGTGAGAGATTTGGAATACTGACGTTCATATGAAGGTTGACTAAAAAGAGGACAAATCCGGCATTCTGTCATAATTGAATAATACTCTGAATAATAAAATTGTAAGAAAATATCAGTTTCATTCACGTGAATAAAATAAATACATTTTCCAAAAACACATCCAGGAAATCTATCACAAGTGTCAACATAAACGATCTACAAATATATTTTTAAGTATTTAAATAACTCATAAGTTGAAGATAAACCAAGAGAAAAAGTATATTCATTGGCATATATCAACAGCAAAGATAAAATAGTTTCCAATAGCAAAGAGAAAACAGTTTCAAAATGTCTAAAAGACTACCGAGAGCACACTCTGAAAACGTTTGCGAAAAAAAAGATGACATCACAAAACTTTTACGGAACATAACATTAGTTAAAAATTTTAGTTCTGATATAGGAAAATACACATTAAATAATTAAATGTGGGTATTCGTGTAAATGTTTGTAAAAAACAAATACAGTCAAAAGTCGTTAATTCGGACACCCATAATCCGGACCTCAAAGCTACAAACTTTCTGCGCATGCGCGTAAGACCTTTACGGCTGCGAATTTGCGTGTGCGCGTGCGCAAAATACGTTTACGAATGCGCGTTTAATGTATAACGGACGGTATAAGCTAAGCTAAAATTATCTAATTATCTATTTCAGTTAATGTTGCAGATTGCGTTGTTCCTTAATCTTCGAATTGGATCCGGCTTATTATTTTTTGCAGACTGTTAGAGCAATTTTATAAAAGTAAGCTTGAACTTTCGATTATGTCAAATAGAATTTCCGATATATATTTACTTAATATGTAAAGGATATACAAAGCGAAAGTATGTTTCGAAGTCCATTAAACAAAAAGTGGAATTGCTGCAAAAAAATGGATAAAGGCATATTCTTTGTTTATCTAAACTTTGTTTATCTTTAACGCCCCCGCGGCGTGCAATGAATTGGAAGTTGATCTGTCAGCACTATCCTTATCTTCAGGGCAGATGTTTTTATTTTATTTGGCTTATAATTCCTTACTCAAATGTAGTATTTCATCTCGATGTACTCCGTCTTTGATATGATTTAAATCAAATTCCTCGTCATTATAATTCGCTTTCGATAGCGAAGAAAGTGACAGAGGTTATTGAAAACGAAAAAAAATTTCGATTGACAAATTAGTCGGTATTCTCGACACAGCAATTATAGGACTTGAACAGCGGAACTTTGTAACTGAACAAGAAATTATGTCTGTTTATAGAATTAAAGAGAATGTATTATCACATAAAAACGAAGCAACTTAAACAACTTACATTGAAAGAAATGTTTAATAAAGTAAACAAATAATATTAAGCTTTTTTTTTTGTAAATTTTGATACCCT